AACTACTAACCAACTATTTTAATGCACTCATTGGTAATGAAGAAATGTTCACAACTGCCAACCAACTCCTTTAATGCATTCCTTTGTCTTGAAGAAAAGCACCTTGAAACAGCTTTAACTTTGTGTAGAGAATATGCTGATGAGCTGTCATATTTGAGTGTGCTAAGATAAAGATTATGAGGCATCATTATTGACTGAAAAATATACTAGATCATAATCAAGGCTCATATAATCAGATTGTAGTAAATTAAACACTCCCGTGTCACACCCTTGCGCTAACTCCTCAGACTTAGTTGGGATTGTCTAAGTCATGAGGCGCCCTTGCGATATACGCGTCCGCAAAGGATCAGCCTAGTTGCAACCTCGTACAAGTCCCGAAGGACCTGTAAAATAAAAAGTTGATTATATTGGAAACGAGCGATGGGCAAGTCCTGACGTCTCGGAAAGAGGAAAGCTTTACGAGCAATTCAACAAGCACCTTGTGTGCACAGGAGAAAAGAGAGAAAAGAGGAAAACAAGGACTTTAGAAGGTAGAACAAATAGTTGCAAGTCCACAAACAACTACTCACCGGGTGCCAGGCGCGAAAGCAAGTTCCCGTCAAGTTAATTGCAAACTTGTGAAGAGTTTTTCAACGCTCGATAATATACCGAAGCCCCATCCATCCCTGTGCCACTTGGGGGGTTCCAGGGTGCTGAGATGGCTGACGTTTCGCGCGCAACTGCGGCTTGCAGAAAACAAGCTGTGGCAAGCGAAAACGGGGCTGTTTTGGGCAGTTCAGCCCGACGCGGCGAGCGGTCGCACTACAGCGCTGCAACCTATTCGAACATGTATTTTTATAAGCAAACACACATAAAACTAAGACAAAACATGTTGCCATATCTCAGTACAAGCATGCAAAAGCGACGAGCGATTCGCTGAACAAAGTTGTTGCGGGTGCGCGATGACCGTTCGTGACAATCAAGCTGTGGTACCACCAATACCCCGGAAACCAGGGATGAGGCACTTTTTGGCTTCATTTTTGAAGCCATTGGGGCCTATAAATACCCCAATCTTTCTTGCTTGCCTAATCACAAAAACTGAATACAAATCTTGAGATTTTGAGTTATAAAAGTCTTGAAAAAGTACTAAGTGTCCTCCTCCTTCTTAAGATTTATGATCATTCTAAGAGAGGTGTGAGGCTTGTAAAGGTTGTATCCTAAACCTGTGAAAATGAGAAAGAGTTGTAAGAGGGTAATTGGTCTTCGCCCATCGAAGGAAGATCGTTAGTGAACGTCGGTGGCCTCGACGGAGGAGAAATCAGGAGTGGACGTAGGTCATGACAACCAAACCACTATAAATCCAGTGTGCTCTTATCTTTGCTGTTTATCTTTATTGCTTACTTATTTTGTTGCTCACTCTACCTTGCACCAACTTTAAGCCAAGCGCACTCGAGATTGGTTTTCATCGAATGAGATTTTGTTGAATCGACGAAAATTTTCTTTAAGCACTAATTCACACACCCCCCCCCCCCCTCTTAGTGCCGATTTCGATCCTAATAGGGATGACATCCCATGTGCAATAGAAGAATAGAAAATAAAATTCTTAAATTTATGTAAAAAATAGTTTATTGTCGTCTTGTGAAGATTGGTGCGTAAAAACCTGTGAAATAAAAAAACCACGTATATAAGAAGATTGTATTACCTAGGGAGATTATATATCCCTGAATTCTTATAGATCTCTGGGAGAGGATGAAGGAGGTCTATTTTTCTCCTCTCTAGCGGTGATCCACACGGTAGGGGTTGTAAAGATGCTCCTCAAATCGCTGCTTAAATCTCCTCCTTACATGCATCACACAATTAAGAAGGGGTCAACCCTTCTTGCTATCCACACGCCCCAAATAGGGGCTGTTGGCTAAGGAGGAGAGGGAGATAGGAGAATATGAGGCGGTAGCTAAGAGGTCTAGCCTATGGCCCTTTGGTTCTCTCCTATTTATAGATGCTCCCTATCAACTTAACCATGATGGATCCAGCCCTATTGGGTACTGGATCTTCATCCAACTACCCAAGTCTCTTAAATTAGTAGATCTCTATCCAATAATCTCTCATTGGCTCTTATTAGATCTCATCCATATGATCCAATAATTTAGGGGCTTATTGGATATCCAATAAGATAGGGGCTCTAACGGAGAACTCATATCCGAGCCTTTACTCATCGCAACACCTATCATATGTGTGTGACCCTCTAGGCCCAATATCGACCTAGCCGTGAGTCATACCTATCATAACTCCTTCTGACTTAGTGAATTATTGTCTCCATAATAATTCACTCGACTCATCGACTACGGACGTACTAGGCTGCTATGCCATAGTCCCTAGACGATATAAGGGAATCCAATCATTTGGACCTATCTGTCATCAGTTACCATGTACCTATAATTCTCATCCATCTCATACTTTATAGACCATATACCAAGCATGGTGTTGTCAGGCCTATTCAGTTTCTACACGAGTCTTACTCTAATCGAATTCCCCCGAAGAATTCTTTATCTCTCAATTCAAATGACCTTGGCTAGAGATTTATTTGAGCAAGAACACATGAGATATTCCTCTATCGACACTCAATAGCCCTCGTAATGTTTGCTACCACTCCTAATAACTGACTATACTAGATCTGAAACTTCGAAACCTATAAGTCCGGTATCAAAGAGTAGAGTACTAATATAGAATATCCTTGGTGTCTCAAGTCTAAAGAATAAATACATTACTAGGACGACGGAATCATTATCTGACAATGAGGTATCATCAACCATCCAACATTATGTAAGCGGATCAATCAATGAACTCATTTTTCAATGAGCACATACACTGTATCCCTATGGACGGTATATAGTACACCAATCTGTATACCAACTGCCTCCATCATTTGAATGAGTATACAGTACACCAATATGTCCGGCTATCTCGATGTCCCTCTCGAGTAACCTATGACCATGATTATTTAGGGTATGTGTTTAAATGAGAATTGGTCTCATTATCATGATTTCATCACAATCTGATTCCCATTGCACAGATCCATGAACATCATAATTTATATGTACAAAAAATTATATAATACAATAGACAAAAGCAATATGTGTGTCACACGTGTCATCACTCACGTGATTGGCTTGTAGGGCATCTATAACTAGCATTTAGTCTGTTGCACATGATTCTCCCTCTTGAGAAGCGGGATTTATTTTCTTGGATATCTATCCCATTGGAGAAACTTTTCTCTTTGCGTCCTTCCATTTGGAAGTTTCGAAGACCACCATCCTCTTAGATTACTCCACCTTACTGAATAAACTATGTACTATTATGCCCCTATAACTCGTTAGATTGTGACTTTTCGTTAATATATCCCTTATTGTACCCCTCAAGGCTTAGCAATATACTAAACTTATTATAAACTTTATTCTCTTAAGAGATATCCTTCCCATGCTAAAGAGAAAATTTTAATGTTCTATGGTGTTGAGTTTTGGTCGCCTTGGGATAGCCATGGATAGGTCATCGTCCGCATACAAGCCCTTGCATAAGTACCAAATTCTTCGAGTTAGTAGTTTTCCTCACTTCTATAAGCTTTGCATAACTTTTTTAGTCATCAAGCAGCCCATCCCTCTTTGCATGGTCTTATCCTTTGCTAAGCAACCCACTTGCCTTGAGTATAATCAAGTTTGGTTCTTTACATCAAGTTATAACTCGAACTCAGCCATCCTAACCTTTATGCGCTATGTATTCTTCCTAGCTTGCTTGTCCTCGTGGTGCATCTCGCACAAAGGGTTGACTATTACTCTGAATACCAATCTCGAATGCCTACTCCTCTGAGGAAGTACTTTCCCTATATCTCAACACCTATTTCCCTCAAACGATCATGTGTGCTGACTAGTCTTAATACAACCGTATTAGGTTCCCCGCGTTTGTATATCATGTGTTTCTAAATATGCATTTCTCGCTTTGATACCATTTATTATGGACTTAGCTATTTTTATCTCAATTGTGCAGCACCTTTGCATGTTTGTTTGTAAAAAGTCAACCTCCTTGAAACCTCTTATGGTCCTTTAAATTCTAGTAAAAGAGAAAATGAGTTAAACGAAGCATTTAACTTAAGATCTCACAAGCAGTCATTTCAAAAATACTTGATAATTGATGTAAATTATAAATATAAACTTTGCAAGCTTTGAACGGTTATGCGATAAAAGGTCCAAGATGATTCGTCATGATCAAAAGTCTCCACGAGTGCTCACATGATAGCGAACCATCCTTAGACACTACCCTAAAGGCCCATTCAATCATGTGCCACCCATGTAGCTCCTAGGTGATATGCTAGTTGACACTCTGCACTACGTTGTGGAGCTAAAAAACTCTTAAAATGACTATTTGGATGGCTTATTTCTGAGCAATTTTATCTCTATGCAATAATTATATACAACATACATTTACAAGCTTGAAACGATCACAAAAGCCAACCAAAATAGGACTGTCAAGTCTACTACAAGCCCCCTACATACTGTGAAAAGCATGAACAAAATCGAAAGACATGGATATACACAAATATTACATCGAATATTTTATTTATAGTTTCATGTATAACACTACGCCTCGTACAATCGCCCTCACCTTCCCTCCCCTCTTCCTCTACCATCATCGGTTGCACACCTCACATTTATCGTCCTCACTCGTAACCTCCTCCACTGAGATCGACGATAGAAACGATGGAGACACCAAGGGGGGTGCTTGTGCCCCCTTGCCTATAGCCCCATGCAAATGTGATGATAAGAATGACGAGAATGATGAGACAAAGATGACAAGTAAGGTGGGTGGGAGAAATGGGGCGAAGGTGACGATAACAGGATAGAGGCAAGAGCAATGAGCGAAGGATAGGAGGGAGGTGCCCCATTGCAAAGGTGACGATGGATGACAACCAATGAGCACTATATGAGAATTTGGCAAGACTAATATTTTTTTTAGAATTTCCCATAAGTAAATATACTACTATTTGCATCCTCAAATCTACTAATTCAATTTGCATTAATTTCCACCCTTCTCATGTCTTTCTACAAGAGCCGGCCGATCCCGTCGATTTCGATGGAACGGACCCAAGTCGAACCCACATGGCGGCGGAGGCCCCGGCGCACGGCCCCGTCCCCGTCCCCGTCCCGCCGCGCGCATGGAACCGCTGCATGGCCCTCCTCCGGCGCTGCTCCTCCGAGCGCCACCTCCGCGCCGCCCACGCCCTTTTCGTCTCCGGCGGCCTCCACCGCCACCCCTTCGCCCTCAGCCGCCTCATTCTCGCCGCCTGCTCCCTCCGCCCCCCTGCCCTCGCCTACGCCTCCCTCCTCTTCCACCGCTCCCCCTCCCCTCCCAACTCCTTCATGCACAACGCCCTCATCCGCGCCCATGCCCGCGGCCCCGACCCCGCCGCGGCCCTCTCCTTCTTCCGCCTCCTCCTCCGCGCCCCGCCCGCCTCCGCCGCCGCTGACCACCACTCCTTCCCCTTCGCCCTCGCCGCCTGCGGTGCCTCTGGCTCCCTCGCCACCGGCGCCCAGATCCACGCCCTCGTCGTCAAGAACGGCCTCTTTTCCGCCGACCACTACGTCCAGACCGCCGTATTGCGGCTCTACTGCAACGCCACTGACGAGGCCGCCAAAGTATTCGACGAAATTTCCGTGCGAGACGCCGTCCACTACGACGTCCTCATGAACGCGTTCATCCGCGCCGGTCTACCCTCCGAGGCGCTGCGACTGTTCGACCATTTGCTGATCTCCCGCATCGAGCCGGACGAGTTCGCCGCCACCACCGCTCTCACGGCTTGTGCACACGCCGGTGCTCTCAAGCAGGGCGTTCGAATTCACAAGCTCGTCGAGGGGAAGGGACCCTCATTCCTAAGGGACACCTTCCTGGGGTCGGCTCTCGTGAGCATGTACGCGAAGTGTGGGTGCATAAAGGATGCCGTCGACGTGTTCAACGCGATGCCTGAGAGGAATACCCACATGTGGGCCACCATGATCGGCGCGTACGCCATGCATGGATTCTCCAAGGAGGCAATGGCTTGCTTGCGGCGGATGCAGGAGGAGGATGGCCTGCGCCCGGATGGGATTGTACTGCTTGGGGCGCTCGCTGCCTGCGTTCATGCTGGCCTGGTGGAGGACGGCCTACAGCTTCTGGCCGAAATGGAGGCTCGACACTCGGTGATCCCCGAGCACGAGCACTACAGCTGCGCTGTCGATATGCTGTGCAGAGCGGGTCGGCTGGACGAGGCACTACATCTCGTACGTGAAATGCCGATGAGGCCTCTGGCATCAGTGTGGGGCTCGTTGCTCACAGGATGCAGGGTACATGGGAACACAGAACTCGCCGAGGTTGCTGTTGCAGAGCTGCAGAGCTTTGCGGCTGGCAACGGAGATGATGAAGGTGTTTATGTCCAGTTGTCGAACATCTATCTCAATGCTGACAGGAAGGAGGACGCACGCAGGATTCGCAAGCTGATCGGTAGCAGAGGGATCAAGAAGACGCCTGCATGCAGCGCGATTGAGGTGGATGGGAATGTGAGCTCATTTGTGGCAGGGGATCAAGTGCACCCTCAGCGGCTGGAGATATGCCTGATGTTGGAGGTGTTGGCAGATCATATGCGCCCCTGCTCTGAGGATGAGTTATGAGGTGGAGGATTGCTCGTAGAGATATGAACAAGATGATGACATGAAGCCCACCAAACAAGTTGAATCATACAGCGGAATAGCTGATGTTTGTGAGACTTGGAATGTCATGTTGGCTCATCACTTAAACCGAGTTCATGAGCATCAGCTTGTGGACAGAACCAATTGTTTGTCGATGAGGACGAATCCTGCACTGTATGTAGTCTCTCTTCGTGAAGCATTGATCTACTGGAGGTCAGAAGTCAACTGAAGTATACAGATCAGAAAACAGAGTCACGCTGAGATTCTCAGTTATGGCAACAGAGAAAAAACTGATTTTTTTGAGGATATTTTTGAGCAAGAGAATGTTATGGAATTCTTATATTAGAAATTTCTTGGAATTTTAAGTTTGAGACAATTGATTTTTGTGGACTGAAAGTGTCTCAGGGAGTTCCTTCCTCTTCGAAATGCCTTCTCTGAGGATGAACATTTTGCTCAGACATCTCTGTAGCACATTATAGTTTCAATTACTGAGAATTTGTTTTCAAGTTTCCATTACGGATCATATGCTTTCGATTTATAGCAGTCATTTGCTGCAGATCCTCAGAACAGCTTGAGAAATGAAGTAACTGTCAGTCATACAATAACAATAAAACGGTAAGTCTCAATAAAATTACTGTCAGTCGGAATCATCAATTTCAATTATCTTTGCTTGTTGTCTCGCTCTATGATTTTTTTTCTTGTAAGATAAATGATTAGGACAAGATTCAAGTAATTTTGGCATAATCTTCTGAGAGTAAAGGTTGAATGCTCTATGAACATTCCTGCCCTGTTAAGCTCTAAGGAATGTCTATGATGCGCATTGCAGACGGAGCCTGCAGTTTAGATTCAAGTCATGGTGCTTTCTGTTACCTACTCAATGCATTAAAGTCCATGGCAATCTCACTGACAGCATAATATAAACTTTCAAGCAGCCCTTTTTGGCATTGATATTATTATTTTTATTTACTCACATATCTTGAGTTGTGTGAGGGATTGTAAAGATTTGAGTACAGGAAATTTTGGTTCGTTTTCTTTTTCTGTTAATATTTTCTTCTTCTTTTTTTTGAAAAGAGGAAAAACTATTCATTAAGCCGAAGTATCAATGGGAGTGGAGCCATGAGCTTCCAAAAAAAATGAGTAAGACCTCTGACCCACCCTATGTTAGCAAGAATGTGCACCCCGGAATTGAGGCGGGGGTGGGTGTAAGGGGACATAATGGATATAATTTAGAAGAGCCACAAATCTTAAACAATATGCATACCTTCAGAGAAACTTATAATTGCATTCAAGAATATAAGCAAGAGATGAAAAATCAAGGAATGTAAGGAATGCCATATAAGCAGCAGAGTATCAACAAAATTCTCTAGAAGTTCAGATACCTGAGGAGAATGGAAACTCCAATATTTGGGCAGCAAAAGCATGTTCAAAGGTTGTCAATATTGAGATGTATGTCACTCGTTTAAGAGGTGTTCCAACTCATCAAAATCATCGATCGCCACCTAATTCGTTGTGGATAATAATGCTAGTCTGCTTATAAAATGTCTCCTTTTGAGCATCCCAGTCTTTCACGATATCATCTACCATGTCTCCCACCAACTTATTGTCTTCTATAATGTGTTTTGCATCCTCGACATCCATCGTATCAGTAGCTTCTTTTATAGGAGAAAAGAATGACAAGAGAAGAAAACTTTTTCAGTGAAGGAAAACACAAGAATAAGAAACTAAAAATTTTCTAGAATGAACATGGTATCACACTGAAAGATAGATGTTGAGCTATATTTTAAAGGTGAAAGATATTTAGTCAATATGCCAAAAGGCTGAAGAAAACACAAGAATACTAACATGACAAATTTCAAAATGTTGAAGCAATGTCCTGATATCCTAGGATAGATAAATCATGCTTCTAAAACATGCCTAACTGACATGGAAATCAATTCTAGTCTAGATATTTGCCTAAATTATGCAAAAAAAGTCACTTGAGTTGGGCATAATCAATAATTTACCTTCTAGAAACAAATTATATTGATTCCTCTTAACCAATTGACCACAGATACTCTATAAAGCACCAGCTTAAAGTTAATTAAGGTAATTATAATGAAGTTAACCCTTTTAACTTCACTCAAAGAACAGACATTAAGGTAATTATGATGACAGCACCCAGCATAAAGTTCCCATTTCATAATTGGTTTGATAGATAAAAAGCAAATTGTTCGATTAACAGATAACTTTTTTACCCTTAATTTCCTCACTTTAAAATACTACTCCAGAGCTTTCCCACATTTAGTTAGTAAATCTGACTGAAAATTGAGCAATTCCTAGGCCTGAGTTTAACCTTTTTAACAGTCATAGAATAGAGGTGTATGTCCTATTATGCTTATAGTTGAAACAATCATAAGATAGACTCTAAATTTATTGTTCAAGAGTAATTTTAGCTTGGCAGACTAATGATCCAGTTTATTAACTAGAATATAGTGCCTCCAAAGACAAAAATGATGAGTACTTTCCTTATACAACAATCAGGAAAAGATAGAAGAGATCGATTTTCTTCAGTGATAAATACAAGCTCCTCAACAAGTTGAAAATTTGATACAAGGCACGCAATGCACATCTCACCATCAAGCCTAAATGACATGACTAAGATGCTTAGGGTCTAGTTGTGGCAAATGCACTATTTTGCTCGATAAATAACTGATGAGAACCAAAAGTGTAAATATGTAAGGAAAGTTGCTAATAAACATGAAAGATGCAGCAAAGGCAATTAAACAGTGCCAAAATCACCAAAGACCCATGGAACTGATATCTAAGACATTAAAAATGAGCTTAAGAATCAAATAGCGTTGGAGCATACAAAGAGATAATAAATTTTGAAGGCAGGTTTATATGGTTGAGTCTCATAGAGGCAGTAAAGGCAATAGAGACCACCCAATCTCCTTAACAATGCACCTGTAGACACCATATAGACATTCATCACTAATTGTCTCTATTCATAAAAACAAGCATATAAAAACTAGAATGGGAATTATGGTGATAAGACATACGAATAGAATAGGAGTAAAGTGACTGCATAAAGAAGGCTTCATTAGAAGTAGGTTTAGCCTCATAAATATAAGAGAACTTCTTGGCCATCCACACCCTCTTCATATCTGCCAGTGTGGTATAATTACCCTGCCAGTTCAAGAGACGACGATGTAAGCTCTCTATAAACTAAAACATGCATTTTGGTTTGAAGAAGATCAAGAAAGCAGACAAGATTTGAGAAGAAGAAATTACCTCGGTGAACTCATCTAGAAGTTCATCAGCATCCAACTTGAAAGGAGTGAGGTCCATATCAATATCATCAAGATTCAAGCATCCATGTGTCGATGATTATTTGCTACTGCTGCATATGCAACAACTGCTTGGAGAAGTGGCTAGTTAATGAACATGGATCTATAAATTCTTAATTTGAACCCAATTATCCATGCCTAGTTTTCTAAAGTTGAAGTTTGAACTCGATTCTTATCCCAAATTAAATGAAGCTATAAGAGATAAACAAAAGGAATCTCAGAATCAATAATGAATCAGTATTTTCTATATCATTTTAATATGTTTTCTTC